TATTATAATTTATTTATTTATTTATTTATTATTTTTTACAAAATTTACTAATTAGACAAAAAGATTAAATTTTTTTTATTTGATTTGAAACTAATATAATTTTTTCTTTATTAAAAATAATAATTAGTGTATAATTACACTATTATAATTCATTTATTTATTTTATTATTTTTATAAAATTAATAATTTTAATAATAAAAAATATAACAAAATACAGTTAATTATTTTTAAACATGTCTTTATCAGTCATTTAATTTTAAACAACAACAATTAATTATTATATAACCAAATTATTATATTAATCGAATCAGTTATATTAATCTAATCTACTATCTACTATCTATTATCTACTACTTGCTTTTCACTATCTGTCACCTACTATTTGCTAATCACTAATTGCTACCCGCTATCTATTACCATTATCCACTATCCATTATCCGTACCTACTATCTACTACCTGATATCTACTGAATTTTAACTACCATACTAAAGAAACCTTTCATCTCTTTAGTCTTTACTAACTCTACCAGTAAGTTTAGGGTGTGATTATTGTTATCATCAAAATTATTAAAATTACCAAATTTTTTATTTTTTTAAATAGTGTCTAAAAATATCAATTTGTTAACTAATTTTAATTTATCAACTAAGAAATATTAATTTTTTGTTTGATATTAATTAATAATTATAATTATTAATTATTTTTTCAATTAAATTAAATAAAATTAATATTTTAAAAATAATATTATATAATTTAAGTAATTATAACATTATTGTTAATGACTATAACTATACACATATGTTTATTATTGGAATATGCACTATTAGAAAACAGAGTATAACCGATAAATTTATAATTGATAGCCAATTTTCTATCGATTATACAAGTATAATTGACAAAAAAGTTGTTGATTATATTACTTTGTCGATTATGTACTTTATTGGCCTATATAATCGACAAAAATTATAATCAACAACTTTTCTATATAATTGATAGAAAATTGATTGTCGATTATATTGAATACATAATCAACAACTTATCTATTGATTATACAAGTATAATCAGAAAAAAATTGGATGTCGATTATGTAGAAATATAATCGATAACTTTTCTGTCGATTATATGGAAAAATAACTGATTTTCTATTTGGGATTTTGCATAATTGGTTGGCAAATATCAAATTTCTAGTAGTGCAAG